GTCCTACAGCCCTGGAGCTGCTCCCAGCCTTGCCCGGGAAAGCCTCAGAGCAGACCCTTCAGCTCGATGCTCCCTGCTTATCTCACCAGCATATCCCCTTCCCATAGGAGAACCTATAAAACACCTCAGGCACATACAAATTCACTTGGTTCTGGGCATCCATCAGTGATCCAGGCTGTAGGAGGTAAGAAATCTGACATTAGACTTGTGAGAGCCCCACACATAAGACGTGTCCCTGTCTGCCCTCCACCCCCACACTGGATGACTTGCACCATTCATCATGTTAGCCCACGGCCTTTCCCAGTATAGACATCCATATAGAAACCATACAACTGCTCCCCTGTGCCTCTGCAGCCTTAGCAATTGTGGGCCAGAAAGGGATTTAGAGCCCTGCTCTGCTGGACCTGAAACAAGTCCAGCAGAAAGCCCTAACCATCACCTTTATAGGTATCTAATGTCTTTATATCTCTTTTCCTTCTCATTGGCTGGAAAAAATAGTTTTCAATAGTTTCACAATCTAAGAGGATAGAGGATAATGAAAATGTGGATTATTTGTCTGGCTTCTTACCCTCCACCCAAACACAGAGGGTTTGTTGGAAGGACTAACACATTTACTTTATGTTATTTTTAATACTTCATGTTTAATTAGCAGCAAGACAATGACCAAAGAGTCATGACATTTACTAATGTCTTCTGCTTAGGTATTCTAAACTGGGAACAACCATTACGTTTTTCCACTGAATACAGCAGTCCCACCCTTTCCTGGTGGCATAAGAAAGGACACGCTGTGCTAAGGAGGCAGACAGCAGTCCTGTGACAGGATGCTCTGCTACCTACTGAAAGTAACATTAAAGAGGAGTTACTGGAGGGAAGCTCAGCTTGAAAGGCAGGTCAGAGAAACAATGGACTAGTAGTTCCCCTGCTGGCAAGATGCATGTGCCATATATCTTCTTCCTGTTATGTTTGCAACATAGTTGCTATTTTCYGGAAAAAAAATACTACATTTTAATTAAGCTATGCTCACTGCTCAAGTCAGTTTGATAGTAATTCCTAAGAATCTGGTCCTCCACTGACATGTGCATTACTTCATTTTCATTTGCTGGAATGCACCAATTTAAATCTTACAGTAGAAAAGTTTCCTCTAAGATACAGCTTGGATGCTTCAAAATTCTGTGGCTTTGGCAATCTCAGCAATTTATTTTGTCACATATCACATTTAGTCACAAATTACAGTGTTGAAAACAGTTAACAGAGCCATAAGCTTCCAGCAAGTGCTTTAGAAAAAAAAAAAAAAAAGTTTGCTGATGTGATAAACATAGCGATTAGAATTTCTGATCTCTGTTCTAGATTTGCAGATCTCTCTGTGATTTGCAACTCACCTCACTTTCAAATCTTTCCTGTATGGTGTGGCAAACTGTATTATGCTGATCACCAAAGATCATATGTTTAAAATCATGCAGATGTTCTCATTGCTTCTCATTGGTGACATAAGTGTTATAGGCTAATGCAAATAAAAGAGCTAGGTGTTAGTTCAGGACACCTAGGCGCTCACTGTATTTCTTACATTATGTCAAATATCATGAATATCAAATATTCAAAGTATCAAGAGCCTCATGATATGTATCAGCTTTTCAACAGCAGATTTTTGGATTCTGTGATTATCTAAATTCCCAGTATTTCTGCTCAGGACAAAAACTGTGGCAGTGTAGAGTAGCTCTGTGCTTATTTCATGAATAAACCCCAGCACAAGTCACAGACTAAGCATATCCCTGACCAGGTTTGCCATGAGACCACATCAGATGTACAAAATGGTTCTATGTAACAGAATCAATAGAAGTCAGTATCTGGTAGCATCAAGATTATACCAGTTACACAGGATATGTGAGACCCAGAGGCTCAATAACTTCCCTGTCTGAAAAGACATGAACATAACTCATAAGCAGGYCCTAAAAACAAAAATTTCAGATCTTTTTGGTGGGTGTCTCTGAGTAACTCCTGCTAAAGATGMTGTGAGACATCCGAATAATCATCATTATAGGACTTCAGAGCAATCTTAGGCCCTCCCTGTATCTAATCCAAGAAGTCATTGTCTTTTTCTCTTCTTTTTCTCACTGACTGAATAGATATTTAATGWGTCCATACAAAACTGAACAGCTTCAGTGGGACAGACTGAGAACAACTCACTCAAAAATAGCCCACAGTCTGGTGGGTTTTGGTACTCTTTTGGGAGATAGGGGTTCCAGTTACCTTCAGTGAGATGAGATACTTCAGCCTTGGTCTTTCATATCCCAGGGAAACTATCTATTAAGGTTTTTGATGAACTGAGGCAGTACCATTTCTTCTTGTGCATGAGAAATGACCAAATTCTTAAAAGCATTTGACCTTGGGAGAATATTAGATTCTGTAACATGAATGAAAGGAAGTATGACTTTCCAACAACTATTAGCACTCTAACTATCCCTCTCCATACTATTCTCTACCAGCTAGTATTGGCATGCCATCTTCAATGAATCTCATTTTAGGTGACATTCTCCACTTTAGGAGAATTTGGTGCCTGACTCAGGGTTGAGGATTCCACCCAAAGGTGAAAAGCCAAAACAAATCAGATGTAACAGTTCAGAATCTGAACCATCTTTATGGATTCAGCTCCAATTCACTAGAAAAACATGGAAAGGCACCATCCAGGAAGGAGCTCTCAAGACACACACTTACCTCATCATGATTAAGTTTCACAGAACTCAGACCTCACTAGGAAGTGGTTTAATCCCCCAGTGCCCCTAATTCCACTATGGTGTTTAAGCACTCTAGTCTGATAGGACTATGATTCAGTATAATGCTTATATGCCAAATGAAGCATAATTTATCTTAGTTCTCATAAAACTACTGAAAAAAGAAATAGAAGCCATTAAATAATTCAAGGGTGTCATAACCATCAGTTGGGTGAATATCAGAAAAACATAATATGCTTAGAGAACATGATACTAATCCTTGTTTTACTCAGAAGTCTGGTCTCTAAGAAGAAAATATTGACATATAACAAGAAAAGCTATTTCTTTTCATTGTGAATATTTCTCAGTAGCTAGGAGTACAGCCCTCCACATCCAAGTAAGGACGAATTCTGATTTTAAATCAATATTATCTTTTTAATCTTTGGTCAAATATGTGTAAGGTTAAAGATGAGATAGTAGGACAGCAACCAAATAACTTAGGTGCCTAATTCTCAAAACTATGAAGCGTAAATTCTATGACACCACAGCATACCTGGATCATATCAGCTACATAGTGATTCAGACTGCTAAACATGCCTACATCATCCATGTAGCAACTAAGCTAAGGAGTACAGTACTCARTACACTCTGTAAACATCAAAGGCCTATATAATTCTAGTTTTCCTGGGTTTTCTAAAAGCTCTGAACCATGACAGACCTTTTGACCCTTAAATGAAAATTACTATTTCAAATGTGGAGAATTACAAGAAAATCAAGTTTAAAACATCTGAAATAACCTACAGGAAATGTTGCAAACCACTAGGATGTTATTTTTAAGACATGAAATTGGAGTAGCTGCACTCAACAATAGCTTGAGAGCATACAGATGTGCTTAAAGATACAAAGTCAGCTGGGAAAGTTCTGGAGGCCTGTGTAGAGCAGGGGGAAGTAGACTTCATGTAGCTTTACTTCTGTTTCCTGAGGAGAAATACAGATGGAAGAGTTTTCTGGAAAGAACCAGCCYTCAAATCATACCTGCTTTTTGTTTGGGAGTGGAGTGATTCACTCTAAAAGATAATCTAATTCTTATGCTGTCTGGATGACCAAATGATTGAGGCACAGCTGGGATCCACAGATCACCCCAAAGTCCTAAGAAAAGCATTGAGGGAGTAACTATTTTTGACAGTGTGAGGATCCCCATCAACTTCAGTAGGTAGCTATGGTGTCCACAGCMCTTGGTTCCCTCTGTGGTATATACACAGAGCTGAAGAGCTCAAAACTGGATCACAAAAGCCAGTGTACCTTGGCACACACTGAATGAGGAGTGACTTAATGCAGGAGTCTCCAACAGCAAGGGCAGAGGTGTGTCTTGAACTCTGCCCCACTCCAGTTTGGGCTCCTTACTCAATGCTGTGCCTCCGTCCCAGGTGCACAGATGAGATAACCTCTGGCAGTTAAGTACCAAAGTTCTTTCTTCAAAAGCTGTGCAAGAGGTCAATGCACACTTTAAAAGCAAAGTCATCAGGAGAGATAGTACTTCACTTCCAACCTCCACCCCCATCCCTTGTGAAAGATCTRTGGAGTTTAGCTCAGAGGTTAAGCATGCAGAATTTTTAATTTGGGCATCAAATGATATATATGTGATAAAAGTCTTTTGTGGATTTTCTCCCCAATTCCTCATCTTCAAGTGCGATGCCCCATCATGAATGCGTTTTATGACATAAAAATACTAGCCTGTGGTTTCTGATCCTAGAAAGCAGGAAATTGATGAGAGAATATGGGTTTTGTGGAGCAGTCATTGAAAGAAAACTCAAAGAGATCAAAAAGATCAAAGCAACTGACAAGGTGTAGAAAATTAAGCACTGGGGTGAGCTGAAGCAGACACAAAAAAAGTGAGAGAACAAGATAGAGCAGCTGCAAATAAGTGTCGATGTGCACACATGCATGAGTGACTCTTCTGAGCAACACTGACTTGTATTTCTGCACAGGCACAACTTTACACACATTGCATAAGATTWAAAAAAATCCTAGCCTTTAACCATTTTATTAAAGAAATAAAATTGTTCAAAAGACAACAAAGTATGGTCTAAGGCACAGCTTCTCGCACAAAAGGGAAAATACTAAAATATTACTTCTGTGTTCAGGTCAGCTCCTCCTCCTCTTAGCAAACTCTCACTTTTACATTTAATTCCTTAATTCCTGAAGCAATTTCACAAAGCTCTGATTAAGAAGCAGGGCCCTCTTTTGTCCAACACCAGTTATATCTATATCAGTACATAACACAGCAGCAGAAGAGAGGAACCTTAGCGCAAAATGAGCAGCGCTGAAAATGTGACATTTACAGGCGATTTGAAGCTTTACTATATTAGCCTTAGACTGATGCTATAGCTGGAGTATATCTTGTTTAGTTTCATGGGAAAGGAATCCAGTTTGCAATGTTTGAAAATACCCTGGATTCAAAAGCAAAGGGTGCATAGGGGGTTGGGAAATTCACTTCAAAAGCTCAGTCCCGATGCGAACTGCAATGCCRTGCAGACAGAGCCAGCAGCTGAATTCAAAACAAACAGGTCTTGATCCAGCCACCTGTCACCTCCGCCAGGGCGGAGCGTGTCCCGCCATCCCAGGGCGAGCACAGAGCTCCTCTCCCCGAGTAGCTGCTATTYTCCCCACCCCCGTAGGGCAGGTCTATATTTGAAACCACAGAGGCGTATAATCCGATGGAAATCGTATTCTTCGAGTTCGTAGGCAGTGCCCAGCACCCTGGTAACACTGTGCTTGTTCCTTCACTTGCTCCTGTTTTGTGAATCCTCTGAACAGAAACATACAGTTAGGTTTATAAATTACAAGACAACAGACAAAGGGAATAAACGAGACAAAATTAAAGGCATTACTCCTAAATTCCATAAATCCTTTATGCAAAGTCTATTTTAACAGCATGGATTTACCCAAATATGTAACAATAGTGAGAATAATAAACTCACCTAGTAGACTAACTAGGCAATAATGAAAGAAGCAGAATATTGTTTTGTGTTCTCCAAAATCCAGGAAGAAAAAAAAAAAAAACTCCCACCAGTTTTGACAATTCCTTTCGAAGGGGAAAGAATCATAACCTTCTACACTGGAAAAAAAAAAAAAAAAGAAATAAAAAGAAAGAAAGAAGGAGATGAGAGAGCGAAGAGTAAGAGAGCTATCTCTTGCAGTCGGGAAGAAAAGAAATTAATAAAACTAATCCCACGCGTTGCGCACGGTGCAATCCACGGCACTAAGTCAGCCCGGGAGAGCCGGGCCCTTCGGTTCTGCTCCCKTTACAACTTCCCGCTTACCGAGCGGGGCCCCGCGGAGGCTCCCGGGGGAGCGGCGCAGAGGGGCGGCTGCGGGCGGCGCTTCCCCGCGGGCTCCGCATCGCGGCCGCTGCCGTCCCGGGCAAACTCCGGTGCCGGTACCGGTGCCTCCCCCGCGGCCCGAACCGGGCGGCTGGGTGGCCCCGCTGCCTTAAAGGAGCAGCTGCCCGGCAGCTCCCCTATGCTTGTGTGTGTGTGTRTATATATATATATATATATATATRTRTRTATATATATATATACACACGCATATAAATATATGTGTGTGTGTGTTTGTACGCACACTCCCGCAGCCAGGCGCCGCGCAGAGCTTTGCGGTCGCGGCGCCGAGAACCCTGCCGGCTGATCTCTGCTTGCAAACCGTTCTCGGAGGGGAGCAAAGCGCCTGGCATGTAGGAAAGAGGCGAGAGAAAAGGTGAGGGGAAGAGGAAAGGAAAAATCGGGGAGGGATGGAGGAAAAAAAAAAAAAAAAAAAAAAAAAAAAAAAAAAAGAGAGAGAGAGAGAGCTGGCTCTTTAAATGCTGGGGGCTGAGCGCTCGCCGGGGCGTCCGCAGCCGGATCCAACCTCCCTCCCCTCGGCGCTTGTTGCACAGCCCCGAGCGCGGAGCGGGCGCTGCTGCTGCGCGGGGAGCGCAGCGGGGCCGCGCCGGGGGGACCATGAGCCAGCCGTGCTGCGCGCCCCGCGCCCGCAGCCCCGCGCCCGCCGCCCGCTCGCCCTAGAGCCGCTCCCGGCGCCCCGCAGCCTTCCCCGACGGGTAAGTTTGCAGCCGCCGGGGGAGGAGGAGGAGGAAGGAGGCGCGCTCGGCCCGGCCGGGGAGGGCGCGCAACTCCGCCGCTACCGAGACGGCGGGCAGGAGGGGAAGGGGCTGCGCTCCGCGACCCCCTGTCAGATTGGGCACCCTGCCTGCTCCCTCCACCTCTTTCTGCAGCACCTTCCTCTTCCTCCCTGCCGCCTAACAGGTGGCGGTGCTTCCTTCCCCGCCCCGGGCTGGTGAGAGGGTGAGGGTCTCCCGTCTGTGCACCCCTGCACTCCCCTTGGGTCACCACCTCAGTGCCCCGAAGCCCTTTTGCTTCTTTCCAAGGGTCTCTCCCACCCCCTGGAGTGGTGCTGTAGCACAGGGGAGCCGGGGGAGGGGGATCTTGTGCACTGCACCCTCTGTCTCTCCGCTGCTTCTTAAGCCTTCATGGCCTCACTGCCTGCTTGTTGTTGCAGCGGGCATGGGGAACCAGGTGGAGAAGCTGACCCACCTGAACTACAAGGAAGTTCCCACAGCCGACCCGACGGGCATGGACAAGGATGAGGGGCCCAGGATTGGTGTGTCCTACATCTTCTCAAACGACGATGATGAGCTGGAGCAGCAGCAGGATTCGGTGCATGATCTGGGAGGCGAGCACCCTACCTTGCAGCCCTACGATCCCCGGCTGCATGAGGTGGAGTGCTCAGTGTATTACCGGGATGAGTGTATCTACCAGAAGAGCTTTTCCGAGGAGGATATGCTGCCCGAGGAGGGGGATGAAGGCGGGGGCGGGCACCTGAGCACCTATACACCGGAGAACCTGCTGAATAGGTGCAAGCCAGGTGACTTGGTGGAGTTTGTGTGCCAGGCCCAGTACCCGCACTGGGTAGTCTATGTYGGGGACTTTCAAGTCGTGCACCTGCACAGGCTGGAGGTGGTGAACAGCTTTCTGACGGACGCCAGCCAGGGCAGACGGGGTCGCATCGCCAACCGGCTGTACCGCTACAAGCCCCTGAGCCCGGCCGCCGTGGTGCGCAACGCCCTGGAGCAGGTGGGCTGCAAGGACCGGGACCTGAGCTGGAGAAACTCGGAGTGTTTTGCTGCCTGGTGCCGGTACGGCAAGCGGGAGTTTAAAATCGGCGGGGAGCTGCGCATAGGCAAGCAGCCCTACCGACTGCAGATCCGGCTGGGTGACAAGCGCAGCCACACGCTGGAGTTTCAGAGCCTTGAGGACCTCATTATGGAGAAGAGGAGAAATGACCAGATTGGTAGGGCTGCTGTGATCCAGGAGCTCTCCAGCCACCTGCAGGCTGCAGAGGAGGAGGAAGATGAGGAGGARGATCATCATCCAGGTGCTCGGACTGCTGTGGAGTAGCAACCTCATCACCATYGTGCTGCTCGGGCTGGGTGATGGGGATTAAAACTGAAGGCTGCGAAATTGAGCTGTTATAAGCCCTTTGGGCTGCTTCAGTGCAGCTTCATTCCAATCACATGTGAAAGGAAGGGGGAAAGCTGATTAAGTGTCTGTGCTTTAGTGCTTAACTCCTTCAGTGCTTGATGATAAACTGACTTATTTGTAGAGGATAAAACTCAGGGTGATCTACTCCCTCTCTGCTCCCACCTCTTTCCCTTCCTCTCTGCCCTCTATGTGCATAGTATTTCTATTGACCATCTGCCAGTAGGCCTGAATCTATATGATGCTAATGTCTTAATTTCTCTCTATCAGCAGAAGTTAGAGTTATTTAATGCTCCTAATAAGAAGCCAACAACTTTCTGAACACCTAGCTCTGAGTGCATGATTAATTGRGGTAGCAAAGAAGCGTGAGGACTTTGGTTTTTCTTTCTGTGCTCCAGTTTCCCTTCAACTGTGGCTCCTGTTGGTGCTACAGCAGATTGCCTGCTGACCTCTTCTGTGGCTTCTCAGCCTGCCCTTTTCCACCCTTCCTGGAAAGGAGAAAAAAAATCACCACTGATTTAAGTGAAATGGTTTTGATGCTCCCCGTTCCACCTTAAAGGAACTTGTGGGTGGGCAGGAGGAGTGCTGCCTCCTCCTCAATCTCCTTGCTTCGGGAGCAGAGGATATACTCATTGCTGAGTGGTCCCAGGAGAGGCATGAGCTTGCAATCCTGTCTGTGAAATCTATGTGGTGGGACTCATGCTGGGGAGAGGTTGAGCTACATGGACCTTCAGCATGGACTGCCTGGCTTCCCCCAAAGAAAGTGCAGAACTTGCATTAATGGTTTTGTACATTGATGCAGTAGAAGCAGGTTGCTCACAACTGGAGAGGGTGGAGGGACCCTCTGCCTCTCAAGAGGGTTGGTTGGATGTCCTTGGCCATGAGCACATCACAGGTCCTGCACTACAGTGTACATGGCTGCAATAGGAAATTGCTGGGATGGAGCACAGGATGGAAGGGCTGCTTATTCCTCTTTTCCTTCCTTACCATTCCTCTTAATCAGGAATGTTGTGGGTTTTTTTTTTTTTTTTTTTTTTTTTCCTCCCCTTCCCCCAAATCCTCATGGTACACAGCTGAGCTATAGCATTTGGGAGAAAATACCTTAAGAGCATGAGGGAGAGTAAGGTGCTACCCACTCTGGATATTCCTTGAACTTGTTCTCAGCCTGTGCATCCCTTGAACACATTTCCCCCATGCACACAAATACTCACGGATCTTTGTCCAGGTGTCTTAAGTGTGTGAGGAAACACTGATTCAAAGACAGTTTCTCAGGTGAAATTCTTGCTTTTTAAGACACTATAGTGATGAAGTCAACGTGAAAATAGGCTTGAGTTCATTTAAATCAAACTTAACAGTATGAGGCAAACTTGAGGCGTAGTAAATATTCTTCCCTGCAGTTGTTTACAGTTATACTGCAAATAGCAAAGTACTCCATGTCCTTTTCCCTTCTGAGATGAGAGCCAAGTTTTGTTGTTCAGGAATAAGCAGGTAGTGTCTTTGGTTAGCTAAGACTATAGAAAACAGCTTCCCTGAGTATGAGAGGGCAGTACAGTCGAAATAGCTTTGTACTGTTTTCTACCGAAAATACAATCTAGAAGAAAAGCTTCTGTGCCATGAATATTACTTCATATTCATGTCAAAAGGAAAAAAMCAGCAGAGTTGTGCAAAATATGCTGTAGTCCCGTGCTCTAAATTTTGGGCTCTGTAATGTTCAACTCCAAAGGAGAATTTAACATCAAAAGGAGAATTTAACCCCCCAACGTAGAATGCTATAGCTTAGGTGTCAATACTAATAATCTTTTTCTTCCATATGCACTCAAGTTACTGTGGTGGTCAAACAGATGTGTGATCTTGCTTTAAAAGCATAAATAATTATCTGTGTCTGAACTGTGCTAGGGTTCATGGGTGGGTGTCTGCACACAGGTTTTTCTACAGCAACCTGTAGTGACTCAAAGCTGAAATGATCACTGAAATAGTTCCCCAAAGAAAGAAGGAAAGTCTTTTTTGTACTGACTGGTGGGAAACAGACCTGAGATTATCTAGATGATGAGGAAATGCCTGGCTGTTTATTTCGTAGTGAAACCGTGTACATAACAAAGTTTATTTCACTGTGTAATATATGTATGTAAAATAATATTTTCTTACAGATATTTTTGAAAGATAAAATAATTCCATCATAAGAATCTTACATCTTACATTTGAAAGCRAGTTATTATACACATTATTTTGCAGCCTTCTGAATTTGTTTATTTTTCATTAGTGATCTAAAATATATTCTAGGTCATGAAGTATACAAAACTGTTATAATTGTCAAATATTATGTATCTACAGGGTACTATACAGTAAAATAGTTGTGAAAATATTTTTCCCTTGCATCTTAAACATCAGAATGATGATAGTTAGACATTTYTCTCCATCTGAGATAACCTGCATAGTCTGTTTTTTTGTGTGTTTTTCTTTTTTTTTTTTTTTTTAATTTTATTTTCTAATAAATGAGGCCAAATCTGCTTGAGAATGCAGAGCAAAGCCTCTTTGACTAAATGAAACGGTGTCTTGTGCTGATCTTGGTGCTTCTCTGTACCGGTCATGCTGTTGGGATAAATCCCCACAGTGGCCTAAGCAAAGAATCTCAGAGCTCACGTTGCCTCACTAGGACCAAGAGTGGAGGAGGAAGGCTGCACTACAGCAAAGCAGAGCCTGAGTGCTGTCTGTTGTGGTATCAAATCTGTGTATATTCATCACTGAAGCATCAGGTGCATTTTGTTTAAAATATGTGCAGATGTTTGAAGTACTTGATTTCTACCAGTTATATTTGGAGATTTATGCAGTCTCCTGCCATTCCATTATATGCAAAAATGACGGAGGAAGAAGCCTGGAGGGCATATATATATATATATGTGTGCACACACACACATATACATATATGTGTACATACATATGTGCATGCATATATGTGTGTGTGTAGATACATATACACACACATATACATATTTTACTTAGTCACTTACTACTTAAAGTAGTAGAGGGCTACTTTATACAGTGGTTCCTTATCCCAAGAGCTCAAGACCCAGCTGTTGAATCTTTAATGGCTGGGTCCTTTTTCCTGCTTGCTCGTTAGGCAGTGTTATTTAATAGGTGCTGTTAAACACCACTGTGCATGTTTCTACGCAGTCGGGTTTTAAACCTGTGTTTCTGTACTGGGCTGGGTGGGCAAGCAGGCCTCCTGTGGAATGGCTTAGTTTGTTGTTATTCAGTTACTGTCTGCAGATTAGACCAGCATTTCTAGAGTTTGATTTTTTTTTTTTTTATGAAAAATCTCCCAAGAAAATAGCCTTTCCTGTGCATAAGTCTTGAAATAAGAGAAAAAAAAGAGAAGAGGAAAAAAAAGAGAGAGAGAAGGAAAAAGAATGGACAAAAGTGCTCTTCTGTGCAGCTTTACCCTCCTGCAGAACTTCTAGTTCAGCGAAGGTCCAAAGCCTGCACTGAATTTTGAAGATCTTGCTTTGTGATGCTTGACAATMGCTAAGACTTTTCACGTGCTTAACGTTAAGTGTGTATTTACCTTTCCTTCTGAATAAGGGTCTGGAATTTCAATCCTGGGTCACCAGTGGGAGTGTGGAGGATCTGACATTGCATAATCACACAGGGAGAACAAAYAGCTCTGTGAAAGCTGTTACTAAAAGGGCCTCTTGGCCAAACAAGCTTTATGGAATCCTGCCCAAACTTTGGTCTCAGTTTCCCCCTGGAAATCCCCCAGGGATAGCACTGATTCAGCAAAAGACTAGGGAGATGTCTTATACAGTAGCTCTAAAGTAGGATGATGGTCATGCTGCAGGCTTTTTTCTGATATCTCTGTTGTGTTCTTCCTGAACTTTGCCTTGGTTTTAAATATCTAAACTTGACAGATTTTTTTTTAAGACTCCTGATTGTGCAAATACTTAATCATCTGTATGAATTTACTTATTTGGGCATGCCTACTGCTAGCGATAGGAAGACTGCTATGAATATCRTTATGCACGTGTTAAGGCTGGCAAGACTAAGCCCCAGATGTGTAAATGTAGATCCAGYTTGGAAATGTAGATGAGCACTTTTATTTCCCCAGAGTATTGGTGTTTGGTGCAAATAATGTATTGGAAAAGGCTTTACAGTAAAACCTATAATTATCCCTTATTGAGTAATTTTAAAAACACAATTGAGACATTCACCTTCCGTGGCAGGGAACAAGGACATAAACTGAAGACTATTTCAAGTTATCCCTGCTTCTATGAGAATGCAAAGTATTGATTATAGCAGCTCCCAACTTTCTGGAACTCCGCAGGCCAAAGTAACAACCGGTTGCAGGCAGAGAGAAAAAAAAATCTAATTGAAAAACTATGTTTTCATACTTGGATAAAAAAATGATTTCAGACTCACATATTGTAGGTTTTAAGAGTAAACTTTCAGTTATTTTTAATTAATGATGCTGCAGGCAAACTTTTTTATTTTTAACTCGATATCTTTTTTCCCAGTACTTAAATAGGTAGCACTGTGGGATGAATATATTTCATATTTTGAATTTAGTAGCGGTTTTCTTCTTTTTTTTTTTTTTTTTCCTTTGGGTTCAACCATAATTATAACAGCCATGTAGGAACAAATGTTTTTGAAGAAAAAAAAATGTTTTATGACAGATTAGAGATGAGTAGCTAAGCAGGGGTAGGAAATGTGTTTTTTCTAACAGCAGTTTCTATTTATAAGAAAGCTACTGTTATTCTAATGTATGCGTTGACTTGGCCACCTGTATAAGTGAATGTACAGTGTTAAGATCACGCATATTGCATAATGGGCTTTTACTTTTCAAATCAGATTTTCTGGATATGAACAAGAAGAAATCAGGGTAACTTCAAACATCAGTGATTTAGATGCTTATTTTGCATTAATATTGAATTAGGAGCTTTCTTTAAATACACAGAGTTTCTGGTATTGTAACAATTCATGGAATCATTCACAGTAACAAGTGTAATCACAAAGTAATGATTTTCTTATTTCTTCACGAGCCTTTTCTGTAAGCTGTCTTTTGTCAGTAAATGTTGAATTGTTAGTGCAAATATTTCTTCTTTTCCTGAGAAAGAAGTACAGATCATTGATTGTACCATTTCCTTCAAAATGAAGGGCATTGCATAGTATCTAAAGAGAAATAAAAGATTTATAGTATCTTTTACAATCTTTCTTTGTTTGTTTGCTTTTTTGAATGATGTGTTTTTCCCTAGCTTGTTTGGAAAACTGAAGTAATTTCTCTCATGATGGGTCTATCAGGCAAAAGCAATCACTGTTTTCACTGACTGTACATGTCAGATAAAAATCTAACTCCCTTTGATTATTTTCTTGCTCCAAAGGGAGAGGAAAAATAATATCTATACAAGACCAGACCATCAGCTGGTTAATAGGCAATAGCTGTATTAAATCTGATGAGGATCTGTCCCATAATTTAATTTTAAAAGTGGAAAATGAATTCAGCAGAAGATTATATAGTATTAGCTGGCACCCAGGCTTGTCTTGTCTGCCAGCAACTGCTGAAGGAACAGATGTACAGTCTGTGAGATGCAGAAATGAAAGAACATGGGAACTCATAGGGAGATTTTGGAAAAATTCTGTGCAACTGTTCAGCTTGTGTGATGTTTCATGTCCCAGAAACTCCAGGAATGCTGTGAGACCAATGTTCTCCCCACTACTGAGCATTCACACCAGGCACGGAGAAGTTTCTTACTGAGGGTTATGAGGCTCATTCATCATAGTAAGGCATTATATCAGTAGYGTTACAGGCCTTAATTTGTCAAAGCCTTCCACA